TAATAATGATAATAACTGATGATAAAGATTTACTTTCAATCGACTTTTTTTCTCCCACAGATCGAATAACATTAATATATATACAAAAGATACAAAATAATAGACACATAAGTATCCGACATTGATACATAGAGAGGCCACAGGACCATAGGACAGATGACATTTAGAAAGAAAAGGTATTTGCTTTGAAATTTGTGCTGTATTTATTTCAATGTTTAGTCTTTTTGTGTTGAATGGGATTTGCTTTATTTTTGAAATGTATGTTTCTGTTTATATGTGTTGTATGTTTTCTGATTCATTTACGTTTTTCGGTTACCTCATTCTCACTCTCTCTGTCTGTCTCTCTCTCTCTCTCTCGTTCTCTGTCACTGTCTCTGTCTCTCTCTCTGTCTATCTGTCTCCCTCTCTGTCTCTCTGTCTCTGTCTTTCTCTCTCTGTCTCTGCCTCTCTCTCTCTCTCTCTCGCTCTCTCTCTCTCTCGCTCTCTCTCTCTGTCTCTCTCTCTCTCTCTCGCTTTCTCTCTCTCTCCCTCTCTCTCTCTCTCTCACTCACTCACCCATTCTCTCTCTCTCCCCCCCCCCCCCCTCTCTCTCTCTCTCTCCCCCCCCTCTCTCTCTCTCTCTCTCTCTCTCTCTCTCTCTCTCTCTCTCTCTCTCTCTCTCTCTCTCTCTCTCTCTCTCTCCGCCACCGAGGAAAGACCAGAGAGAGGAAACCGATGAGTTCCTTCCGTTAATCAGTTCAACCGGAAGAGGAAGAGGAAGAGGAAGGAAGAAGAGAAAGGTCGGAGAGACTTCGAATAGGAAGAGGACAGGATAATGAAAAGCGAGAGAGAGAAAGAGAGGGAGAGAGAGAAGGGGGGGGGGAGGAAGGAAGGAAGGATGGGTGCGTGGGTGAGTGGGTGGGGAGGATGGAGGGAGAGAGATGGAGGAAGGAAGGAAGGATGGGTGCGTGGGTGAGTGGGTGGGGAGGATGGAGGGAGAGAGGGAGAGAGAGAGAGAGAAAGAGAGAGAGAGAGAGAGAGAAAGAGAGAGAGAGAGAGAGAAAGAGAGAGAGAGAGAGAGAGAGAGAGAGAGAGAGAGAGAGAATTAGAGAAAGAGAGCGAGAGAGAACATTAATGAAAAAAGAGCGAGAGAATATTAGATAAAGAGAAAGCGAGAGAATTTGAGAAGAGGAAAGACAAACAAAACAAAACAGACAGAGAAAAGGCATACCGGAACAGAACCAGAAACACAAAAGCGAGAGAGAGAAAAAAACGAGAGGAATAAAAGAGAAAACGTTATTTACGAGTCATGAATATTCGACTTGCTTCGTCTCCGCCTAAACAACTCGGCCAAAGAGACCACAATAGACACAACGAAATATAAAAAAAGGAAGTCAAATCCGCGCCCAGATTAATCCAAATACTTCATGAAAGTGCATTGTTAATATCAGAAGTCCAATGCTGAGGTAACAGTCTCGTTAAAAACACTGGAACTCTGGATTATATATCACCAATCCATAATTCAACCGGCGTCCCGTTAACGAAGGTCTTCCGCAAAAGCATCAATAATTTCCCGTGAATCCGCTAGAGTAAGGGATCCGACCCTCGCCCTTAAGATCGAAACCCATTGAATCCATATTGGCTTCCACCCGGCGCCTCCCGACACCATCTCGAGCTGAGGCGTCTCGCGTCTATGACATTTTACACCGTGGGGTTTTGTCTTTATAATGCAACAGCGGCTTCTAGTTTAGCCCAGTCACGGCGCTTGACATTAGCGTCATATCAACAACAAGAAAGATATATATGCGTTGACGAGATAAAAAGAAAAATAAGAAAGAAAACGTAGCAAAAAAAGGGACTTATGTTTATTTTCAACTCGTCCGAAACCCGGATATCCCGCTGTCCGATCGCACAATATTGATTTGATTGATTAAATATAATTTATTCCCGAAGTCATCGATCTTTAAAAAAGACTTAATAAATATTCCCTCAGCTAAATCCCTCCCCCCTAAAAAAAAACGAAGAAACAACGTCTATCTGTCCTCGCAACGAGAGCGGAGAAAAGGGAAAGCCGAGGTGAATATTTTATCCAAACATATTCCACTCTCGGACGGACACGGACACGGACACAGGACACGGCCTTTCCTGCGCAGTCAAGTGTCATTGGTGAATGGGCGCGACGCTGGCGGGTGTACGACGCTTCGCTCTTCTCTCCTCTCCTCTCCTCTCTTCCTCTCTATTTCCAATTCCCTTTCTCCACCGCGTTTCTTTTTTCCGTTTTCGATATATTTTAATGATTTGCTTAGCGTAGTGTAATAGGAAGAATACGAATAACTAATCCGACGAATTTAAGACGAGACATCAGAAAAAAAACAAAAAGGGAAAATTATCGTACACTCTTCCTCCTGCTGGTCACCAAAATTAAAAGACAACTAATTTGATTTGTCGGTTCATTAGCTCTCCTAATGAACAGGTTAACTACCCATCGGTAAAAGTGGTTAATTACCGGAATAGCCCTTTCTCAGTAGGCGGATTTGGCCTCTCTTATATCCGTCTTTAAAATTGACAACGACCTGAAAGTGTGAATTATGGAAGCCTTCGATTTTAAGCATGGAGGTTCGGCGCGTTTAGAATATGGTGAGGGAGAGGAGAGAGTCTCTTGGAAAAAAAAGGGGCAGTTTGGTATCAGATCTGTTGGTATCACTTTTTGGTATTCTTCTGTGGTCTTTCTCTTATTTTTCTATTTATTTTATTTTTCTATTTATATATTTTATTGTTATTATTATTATTGTTATTATTATTATTATTATTATTTTATTATTGTTCCTCACCCACTCTTTAACCCTCCTCTCCCCCCTCCCTCTTACTTCCCTTCTATTTATTCTTATTATTCTTATCTTCATCTTCACTTTCCTTTTTATCTTATCTTCCATGTGCATCCTTCGTCTTCCTTTCTTCCTGTCTTCATCTTCCCTGTCTTCCTCTCCTTTATTATTATTTTTCTCGTCTTTCTATTATTTTCCGTTTTCCTTCTCCTCCGCTATGGTCATCTCTTCCTCCTTTTTCCTTCATTCTCGTTCTCCCATTCTTTCACCTTAATTTCTACATCTCGTCTTCTCGTCTTTCCCCTATGTCCATTTTCTCTTCTTCTTCTCTCCCTTTGTTTATCATCATATTCATTCTTATTTCTTCCTCTTCTTCCTCCTCTTCTTCCTTCTTATTTCCTCCTCCTCCTCTTCCTTCTACACCCGTGTCCCTCTCCTCTCTCCTTCATTCCCCACCCCCCTTTCCTTCCTCCCACCCTTTCTCCACTTCCTCCCCTCCTCTCTCTCTCTCTCTCTCTCTCTCTCTCTCTCTCTCTCTCTCTCTCTCTCTCTCTCTCTCTCTCTCTCTCTCTCTCTCTCTCTCTCTCTCTCTCTATTCCCCTCCATCCTTGTTTACCCCTTTCTCCTCCTCTTCCTCCTCCTGCTTCTCCTATTCTTCCTCCTCCTCCTCCTCCTTATCCTCCTCCTCTTCCTCCTCCTCCTGCTTTTTCTCCACCTCCTCCACCTCCTCCGCTTCCTCCTCCACCACCACCTCCTCCTCCTCCTCCTCCTCCTCCTCCTCCTCCTCCTCCTCCTCTTCTTCTTCCTCCTCCTCCACCTTCATCTCCACCTCCACACACCCCCATGTTTATCCCTCCTCCTCCTCCTTCTCTTCCTCCTCTTCCTCCTCCTCCTCCATCACCTCCTCCTCCCTCCCATATTTATCCCTCCTCCTCCCTCCATCTCCTCCTCCTCCTCCTTCTCCTCCTCCCCCCCCCCCATGTTTATCCCTCCTCCTCCTCCTCCTCTTCCTCCTCTTGCTCCTCCTCGTCCTCTTCCCCCCCTCCTCCTCCTCCTCCTCCTCCCTCCCATATTTATCCCTCCTCCTCCCTCCATCTCCTCCTCCTCCCCCTCCTCCTCCTCCTCCATCACCTCCTCTTCCTCCCCCATATTTATCCCTCCTCCTCCCTCCATCTCCTCCTCCCCCCCCCATGTTTATCCCTCCTCCCCCCCCCCCCTCCATCTCCAAGAGCCGGAATTAATACCCGGTCTTATATAATTAACGCACTCCACGCGAAACGGCGGCAATCATGCATCAATGCAATAATCACATTGAAAACGAGGACAAGCCGTATTGCCATTAGGACCCCTCGAAGCAAGCGGATGTCAAGCCACGGAGAGTCACTAAGGTCGATATTCCCCCTCGATGTTTGATGTTACCGTCGACCATCTCGCGCCTGGCTTTTGGGGTCCTTCTTGCGCTCGGGTCGTATAGGTAGCCCGAGGAGTGTATTTGGATGGCCATTAGTGTTCGGGATTCGATTCTGTCTCTTGTCTGTCTGTTTGTCTGGCTTGTCTGTCTGTCTGCTTCGTTCTCTCCTCTCTCCTAGCTCTCTCTCTCTCTCTCTCTCTCTCTCTCTCTCTCTCTCTCTCTCTCTCTCTCTCTCTCTCTCTCGCTCTCTCTCTCTCTCGCTCTCTCTCTCTGTCTGCCTGCCTCGCTCTCTCTCTCTCTCTCTCTCTCTCTCTCTCTCTCTCTCTCTCTCTCTCTCTCTCTCTCTCTATATATATATATATATATATATATATATATATATATATATATATATATTTTTTTTTTTTTTTTTTTTTTTTTTTTTTTTTTTTTTTTTTTTCTTAGTGTCTCTATATCTCCCGTCTCTGACTCTATGCGTCTGTGTATCTGTTTTTATCTTTCTCTATCTGATTTTCTGTGTCTATCTATCTCCCTCTCCCTCTCTTTCTTCTCTTCTTTCTCTTCTCTTCTCTCTCTTCTCTTCTCTCTCTCTCTCTCTCTCTCTCTCTCTCTCTCTCTCTCTCTCTCTCTCTGTCTCTCTCTCTCTCTATCTCTCTATCTATCTATCTATCTCTCTATCTACCTATCTCTCTATCTCTATCTCTCTTTCTCTCTCTCCTTCTCTTCCCTTCTCTTTCTCTCTCTCTTTGGTCCGTTTCCTGAAGGGTACGAGGTGGAAGGAAGAG